TCCTTCTCTACAGCCCAATCGCGAATAGCGGCTGACAAACTCCTCCACGTCAAAGTCGGCCGTAAAATCCATCTGCTTGAGACGCCGATTAGCCCATTCGGCAAGTCTCCACTCGCGTATTTGGCGAGAAACGGCACCTGCAGACCAGGCGGCAGTGGGCGAGGCAGCGCTCAAGGAGTCAGGGGTATCATCAGTTGGATGGATCGAGATGTGGTGCCAGACACGACTGCTACCCAGCGTAGTCATGAGGTCAAACCGCCCTCTCTTGCCGACAGTAATCCCTTCAGCTTCCACGGGAAACAGTAACTGCCGAAGGAACGAGTCCATATCAACCTCTAACCCTACCTTCTCCAGGACTTCCTGTCTCTTGTCGAGCTCATATTCCCGTTCACGCCAGGCAGGACCAGTGGTAATCCCCAAATCTGGCTCGACCTGCGCTACGGAATTGTTCAAGTCATTGAGTACAGAGTGTCCGACGGGGGGAATCTGAACACCATCCTCCTTCATCTCTGCATTGATACCAAGGGTATCATCAAAGACTCCTCTCAATGCCACAGCTTTACCAAAGGCAGGCCTAGGGATATCCACGACCGTGATACCCACGGTGTCCTCATCTGACCACTGGCCGGCTGATCCGCTTCCAGAATCACCTTCCTGGTTTGCCCGGAGCTCATTCGCAATAGTTTCGTTGGCCTTAACGATGACCCAGTCGACAAGTGCCTCATAGATGCCCGCGATCAACACTTCACGATCTTCAGTGGAACATTTGTGAAGAAGCACGTCCGGATCTAATCCCAGCAATCCACCAACCTCATCGCATGCTTCCTCGAGCTCCTCCTGATCAACCAGAAAGCCAGCCGCATTACCGAGCTTGATTATGCCTGCAAGGATGGAGAGTAAACCACGCAGTGAGGCGCCTTTGATATCAATGGCCTTCAACGCTGCCCTAAAATCCTCTGCCGCCGCAGCATCGTCGGCGGTCGGGAGATATGATGGAGGTGAATAGGTACCTGACCTGTTGAGTAGTGTATACGCAGAAGGATCCTTCAGGGCTAAGAATTCCCGCTCCGCAGGCGTCGATGAGGACGTCAAAAGATAGTAGAACACGTCAAAGGCACGGTATCCCGGTTCCGAGGAAATATCCAAGAGTCCCTTTCGCACGTTGATGCCCGAAGTCGACAGTGCAAAGTTCAATCCGACGAGGCTTCCTTGTAGCGTGAAGGTGTAAGAAGCAGCAAGGGCAGAGTATAGAGAATAAGAAGGGTTGAATGCTGTAACCGCGGATAGGAACGGTCTGAGTGCGGCTAGTGCGGCAAAGGCTATGCTGGGTGTTGGCAAGGGTAAGGCGGCAAGGAATGGTTCGAAGAGGGAGGGTGTCGACTGGTGAGCGGAGCTGGACAAAGGTTAGCGACCACCCGTACAGTGTTGAGATATATTTGAAGGGAGTATCATTCGAACCATAGTACGATACATCCATCCTCCGCCCTCCTTCGAGCATGCTCCCATGCTCGGATGGCTAATTCTCGATCTATGGTGCCACCAGTCCGGCCATCGGGAGTAGTGTGCCTGGCAGTAGCCCAACTATTCACAACCAGGCTTGTCCCTGCATCTAGCTGATAAGATTGACCGGAATTGTAGAACGCATGTAGTGCGTTCAGCAAGGTCGTTGTGGACACCTGGGAGGTCTGGGGTGCGGATCGTGGACCACTCGTGGAAAAGCCAGCTGAATGACTGGAATATACGGAGAATCTGTTCGACATGATGACTTATTTGACCGTAAGACGGCACTGCAATTGAGTCAAGTGTGGTAGCTGAGAACTCCGTGGGTTAGACACCCGAAAAGGCTGGTGTAACGATCGCAGATTTATTGTTCAGAGCATGGGCAATTATGGAAATTCTCCTAATGATAGAGACCCAAGATACAGTGACCAAACTGAAGGATTATCTTCCCTTTTGCCGATTGAAGCCGTCGAAATCTGACGTCTTGATTGGCGATCTTGTCGCTGAACGAATGGAACGGGACGAAATTCCACAGGCGGAACGATTTGTGATGATGATACTCTTCACCTTCAGAGCGAGAGATAAAGCGTGGGATAGGTAAGGATATGGCGTGTAGCGACTGTTGAGACGGCGAAATCCCGGAAAATGGCAATTATCGATTAAGGGAACAGCGTGAAGCGAGGGACAGTCGAGGGCCAGGGCAAGGTCAACAAAGGACTATTAAACCGCAAAATAAAGAAATGCGTCGATTACAGGTCGACAACTGATAATGAACAGAAGACAAGAAGAAGAAACAAGTTGAATGACAGCAATATGGACAGGATGGAAGGGGAGAGAAGAAAGTTGCTGGTGATGCTGTCCAGTCTCACAATGTCTCCAGTTCAGTCAATCTGTTGTTGTGCTAACTTACCTAAGGTATGGTAGTATTAGCTAGCTGTATCAGGTATTTCCGGGGATTTCAGGTTCAGGGTGAAGGAGACATATTGAAAATTACTCTGCGGAGATAACGCAGAGCCCAGGTATATTTGGTTGTAATTGGCAATAACAGTCAGAAGGGATTGGGCAATATCGCCATGAAAATCAGGCGAATCACTATAGTTGATACTAGCAAACCACTAGCCAAACTCTACCAGGCCAGTCGCAGCTGATAGGTACTCTCAAATTTTGTCTAGACTCGACCTGGGCCTATTTTTTGTATTTTCTGGCTGCCCTTCTGATATCAAACTGCGCATCCCTTTATTCGATACGATTTCCTAAGTAATGCACGGATGATCTATCCGCTCTGTTGCTTAATATTCATCGAACACCTTAGAAAGCAAGTAGCTACTCCATATCTCGACCGATGATAATCCATCCATGGCTCTTGGAAGGGACAGTACCAAACTCCGGGTTTCAGTCCTATCAGGAGGTGAGATAACAGACAGGCTTTTTCTCTGAGACAAAACCCACGACCTCAACCATGTCAGGTGGCGTACCAGTACCACAGTGACTGAGCGTATCGAAAAGCCAATCAGAGCCGCAAAAACAGCTAGATCCCTGACCTAAATTCTATAATTGGCATCCTCGTCTCACCTGGACTATGTTGTGTTATTCATCCATAAATGGATAGCCCATACAGTGTAGGTCTTTACCACAGAAGCACTGTATTTTGGTTGAATACTGATGCCAGTGAACCCACACTTGTCTCAGTAAAACACACCAATCGAGACTGATCAAATTGCCACCTTGAACAAGATTTTCTGCTCATCAAGCCTTGATTCGATCGTTGATCCTTTTCTCTTAACAATCATCTGTCATATGTTAGATGTGGAAGAGTCATGCAGTGCGATACCTGCATTGGATGGCCCCGCCGGATTGTTATTTTAAGTCTTATGTTGCTGTACAGGCTCTGCAAGTCTAACCTTTCTCTATTGTCAGGTTTTGTCCTTGGACAGCAGAAGTGGATTCGAAAACTGTTAGAAAACTTGATGAAGTAAAAGTAGCAACTTCCACCACCTTCTATCCTAATCGTAGTATCCGTATTAACAATGAAGGGGGTTTTGGCTGTAAAAAATTCATTGTACGACGCTTTCCCCATTCAAGTTTGCCAGATCGAATGATTGATCCACTGTTCTCCGTACTCAGTAAGGTACGTATCTAGCCGGTATCTAAGTTGTGAAATTTCCAGCTTCCACGAAAATTTCATTTCACAATCTGGTCCTTGATCTGTCTCAAGTTCACTGAAGATCGCTGATTCATGGCTATCATCCAGAGGCTTCTACGCGCACTCACACTATAAGCCTATCTTCCTTCACTCCATATATCCATCAAACAGACGAGACTTGGGGTTTAGACATTATCACAAAGTTGAAGTCAACTAAGGTAAGGAGAGCCCCTGAGCTCCTAGTCCCTAGTCCCCAACTACTCCTAGCAATTCTTTCTTCATCAGTGGCGTGCGTGGGTAATTGAGCAGGATTTTAATGCTATTGATTAGAAGTGGATAAGGTAGGTAGTTCCTAGGTATTCATTGAGATGTATGGAGTCCTCATAGTACAGTACAGTACCTCAAGGAGGACCCTCAAAAGTCCCTAACAGTCCCTGCCGGTTCGGCCGTCCCGATGAATCTCCACAACTCCTATTTTGATTAGGTATTGATCAATAGTCTGACCCGGCCATGTCCTGACGGTCCTCGGTTGAGGGCAGCGTTAATACTAAAAGTAGAATCCTCCTTGTGACAGACACCTTTTCAAGCGTAATTTTCGGTCCCTTCCACATAGTGTAGAAACGCTGAGACGGTATTCTCAATCTACAAGCATAAGAATAGAAACCACCAATCCCAAAGAGGCAAATCAACAATACAGCACCTAATTACTCTGTATTCCTACCACAGCACCACCTCTTTTTATCTTCGCTGGGCGGTGACCCCAGACAGGACATGGTGGACAGAGAGGCACTGCTACAGAGACTCATCATTGCTGCTTTTTTTTTGCCCAAGTCTCTTCTCAGCTTGTCATCTGTCTGCTATTTTGATTTCTCCATTTCTTCCATCATAATTATAATAATACTCCATAATTGAGAGTATTTGTGCCCCTCGCTTGCGAGTTCTTTCAACACTCTACGGAGTTATACACGGTCGCTTCTGCTCAAAACCTCAGTCAACGACAATCGCTTACACCCACTGTCGTTCTTCCCTTCGTGCAAGTTGATTTCTGTGGTGCTCAACAGGTTGCATTTGCCATCTGCACAAGCAATGTGCTCGTCTATCTGTCGGTGCTAGGATCTTTTTTAGACAAGTTTCCACCATTCTTCGTCTTTGAATACTTCGCGATCGCCATTCTCATTACCAGCCTGAGCGTGGGCGAGACGAATCAACCGGGCTCGAGACTTATTAATCTCTGTCGAATTATTTATTTCTTGTTTCATTCGATCGAATCCGTTCAGCGAAAAGTAGAACCCATTGATCACTATTCGTCTTCAAATCTAAAGCACCTCCATTGTCGGGACTCGACACCATCTACAGAATGGCTACGCAGTCACCAGCAGGAGGCGCTCCGTCTCATGCGCAATCGTCTTTACCGTCATTACCAGCACATTTGCAATCAGACACCCATCTAACAGCCCATTTAGCTAGCCGGTACAGTCTCCCCCTTCTCCCTATCTTTCTGATCAGGAGGGGTTGATGGAGTACTAACATTTGTGCCGCATCATTCAGTTTCCATGTCGGATTACCAACGGCCCGACTCTCATCCCAGGCCCTGATCAGTCTAAACACATACACGACATCAACTAAAGGTCCTGATGGGGGCAAAGAGGGCAGTGCAATGGGAGAGGCGGAGGACCTGGCCAAACGTGCCTTTACACGTCTCGGCGCCCGGGGAGAAAATCAGGCCGTTGTTTTCCTGTAAGCTTCTTCTTGATCTTGGTGGAGTGATTATACCTGACTCTGCTCATTTAGTGGTGAGAGCGGATCTGGAAAGACGACAATCCGCTCCCACTTGTTGTCCGCATTCCTTTCATTCTCCCAGACCCCATTGTCGTCAAAGCTATCTTACGCGGCGTTTCTCTTCGACACCCTGACAACTACCAAATCCTTGACGACACAGACAGCCTCAAAAGCTGGACTATTCTTGGAGCTGCAATATGATGGCTCGTCTTCTGTCAACCCAACTCTTATTGGCGGAAAGATCATTGACCATAGACTTGAACGGAGTCGGATCACCTCTGTACCGACCGGAGAGCGAAGTTTCCACGTGCTGTACTATCTTCTAGCTGGAACTAGTCCAGCTGAAAAGGCTCACTTAGGCTTCGACAAAACCGTCCATGTATCGACCTCTTCAGGCGCCGTTGGCCATAAGAGGTGGAGGTACCTGGGCCACCCGACTCAACTGAAGGTGGGGGTCAATGATGTGGAGGGCTTTCAGCATTTCAAGACAGCTTTGAGAAAATTAGAATTCCCACGCAGCGAGATCGCCGAAATTTGTCAGATCCTTGCTACAATTCTCCATATTGGACAGTTGGAGTTTGCCAGTGGGCAAGCCACAACCACTCATGCGGAAGAAAGTGGTGGTTATTCACATGAGGGTGGCGAGACAGTCACTATTGTGAAGAACAAAGATGTGCTGTCTATCATCGCTGCATTCCTGGGTCTGTCGGTTGAAGACCTCGAAAATAGCTTCGGCTACCGAACTAAGACCATCCACCGGGAACGAGTAACGGTCATGCTGGATCCCAAGGGGGCCCGACAAAATGCCGATGAGCTTGCACGAACCATATATTCCCTTCTAGTCGCCTACGTAATTGAAGCCGCCAACCAGCGGATCTGCGCAGCGGAGGATAGCGTTGCGAACACTATCTCTATTGTCGACTTCCCTGGTTTTGCCCAGGCCTGCGCCACCGGTTCTACTCTGGATCAACTTCTCAACAATGCAGCTACTGAATTGTTGTACAACTTCTGTCTGCAGTCATTCTTCGATCGAAAGGCAGACGAGTTGGAGCGGGAAGAGGTTTCGGTGCCCGCAACAAGCTACTTTGATAATACTGATGCTGTCCGCGGCTTGTTGAAGCATGGCAATGGACTACTCAGTATCCTTGACGATCAAACGAGGCGCGGGCGGACCGACAATCAATTGCTAGAATCTCTGAGAAGACGTTTTGAGAACAAAAACCCTACTATCATTGTGGAGGGCTCAAAGAGGACCAGCTTGATCTCACAAAATGCTCGGTCCGCTTTCACCGTAAAGCACTTTGCCGGTGAAGTGGATTATTCTGTCAACGGCCTAATTGAGGAGAATGGAGAGTTTATCTCCGGCGACCTTATGAGGCTTATGAAATCCACCAAAAGCGACTTCGTCAGGGAGCTCTTCGGACAGGAGGCCTTGCAAACAGTCACCCATCCTAAGGAGAAGACGGCCATCATGCAAGCGCAAGTCAGCTCAAAGCCCTTGCGTATGCCTAGTATGGCTCGACGCAAGACAAGCCCATCTTCACGACTGGCTTTCGATGCGCCAGCCGCGGGAGATGCAGATGAGGTTGAGAGTCAAGCAGAGAGCACCGCAAAGGATTCATCTTCCGGCAGACGGAAAAGCGCTATGCTCACTAGTGGCATACAAGGTGCCGCTGGTCAATTTCTTTCCTCGCTGGACATTGTTAATAAATGCCTGAGCTCGACGAACCTGAACCCCTACTTCATTTTCTGTCTGAAGCCGAACGACCGGCGCATTGCAAATCAGTTTGACAGCAAATGCGTGCGAGCACAAGTACAGATGTTCGGTATTGCTGAAATAAGTCAACGGCTACGCAACGCGGACTTCAGCGTTTTTCTTCCATTCGCTGAGTTTCTTGGTCTGGCGGAGATTGGCAACATCGTGGTTGGCAGTGATAAAGAGAAAGCCGAAGTCGTCCTCGATGAGAAGCGTTGGCCGGGCAATGAGGCTAGAGTTGGCAGCACTGGTGTATTCCTGAGCGAGCGATGCTGGGCCGATCTGGCAAAAGTCGGAGAGCGTGTTGTTCCTGTGTATGCTGCTGATATGTCGGATGAAGGAGGTGATGGTTTGCTCCACCCTCGTAGCACTGGCTACGGGGATTCCAAAGTCCGACTTCTCAACCCAGCCGATCAGTCCCCTGGAGCGTTCATCTATGGTGACGAGGCGAAACAGGGTTACTTCGGAAGCCGTGATCTCGATGGACGCTCTGATGCCGGTAATTCTGCCTTCAACTCTGGGGATATGTTTCGAAACCATGAAACGCGGGAGCAGATGCTCGAGAAGGGAAATGAGAAGAAAATGGAAGAAGTCGATGAGGTGCCCGTCTCCGGTAGTCGCAAGCGTTGGGTAGCGCTCGTTTACCTGCTCACATTCTACATCCCGGACTTCTTGATCAAACTCTTTGGCCGGATGAAGCGCAAAGACGTGCGAATGGCCTGGCGTGAAAAGTTCGCCATCAATCTGATCATTTGGTTCAGCTGTGGGGTCGCCATCTTCTTTATTGTCGCATTTCCTGGGCTGGTTTGTCCCACGCAACACGTTTACTCTGCAGCGGAATTGTCTTCGCACAATGGCAAGGACGGACATAATTCATTCATTGCTATTCGCGGTGCCGTTTTCGACTTGGACAAATTCATGCCAAGCCACTATCCAAATATCGTGCCCGAATCGGCTTTGAAAAAGTACGCGGGTGTCGATGCTACTGGTCTCTTTCCGGTGCAAGTGTCTGCACTCTGTCAGGGCAAGTCGGGAAGCGTTGATCCCACGGTTCTATTAGACTACAGACCGACCAATATCTCGGGATCAGCAACTACGATCAGCGGCACAGATACCAACTCTGTATACCATGACTTCCGGCACTTCACCAACGACTCCCGGCCTGACTGGTTCTATGAACAAATGGTGACGCTCAAAGCAAATTACCTCAAAGGTTATGTTGGGTATACGCCAAAGTATTTGAATACCCTCGGTAAAAAGTCACAGTCTATTGGCAGCATCAATGGCAAGGTTTATGATTTGACCAGCTACATCGCTGGTGGTCGGCTGACGAAAGCACCTCCCGGCGAGTCGGTTCCTGCGGATGTTGACACGGATTTCATGGACAGCAATGTTGTGTCGCTCTTCCAATCGCTTCCTGGCCAAGATTTGTCAAAACACTGGGAGAATTTGAAGATCGACTCGGCGCTGCGTCATCGGATGCAACTTTGCTTGGACAACCTCTTCTTCGTCGGCGAAGTGGACACGCGTAACTCAGCTCAGTGCGAGTTTGCTCGGTACTTCATCCTCGCGATATCAGTTCTCATTTGCTCGATCATCGTCTTCAAGTTCCTTGCTGCGCTACAATTCGGTAGGAAGAACGTGCCCGAGAATCTGGATAAGTTCATCATCTGTCAAGTCCCTGCCTACACAGAAGACGAGGAATCTCTTCGCCGTGCCATTGATTCTATGGCACGCATGCGGTACGACGACAAGCGCAAGCTTCTTGTTGTTATCTGTGACGGTATGATTATTGGTCAGGGGAACGATCGTCCCACGCCCAGGATTGTCCTCGACATCTTAGGGGTCCCAGAGTCAGTGGACCCTGAACCCCTCAGCTTCGAGAGTTTGGGAGAAGGTCAGAAACAGCACAACATGGGCAAAGTCTACTCGGGTCTGTACGAAGTCCAGGGTCACATTGTCCCTTTCCTTGTGATTGTCAAGGTCGGAAAGCCTTCGGAGGTCTCGCGCCCCGGTAATCGAGGCAAACGTGACTCCCAGATGGTCCTGATGAGATTCCTGAACCGTGTCCACTACAACCATCCGATGAGCCCTATGGAACTGGAGATGCACCACCAGATCCGTAACGTCATTGGTGTAAACCCCACGTTCTACGAGTTTATCCTCCAAGTTGATGCCGATACAGTCGTCGCTCCTGATTCAGCAACACGGATGGTGGCTACTTTCTTGTCTGATACTCGCCTTATTGGTGTCTGTGGTGAAACTGCCTTGAGCAATGCTAAAACTTCTGCGGTGACTATGATTCAGGTTTATGAGTACTACATCTCTCACAACCTCACGAAAGCTTTCGAGAGTCTTTTCGGTTCAGTCACGTGTTTGCCTGGATGCTTCACGATGTATCGGATCCGCTCTGCAGAAACCGCCAAGCCATTGTTCGTCAGTAGAGAGGTCGTCGAAGCTTACGCTGAGATTCGTGTTGATACACTCCACATGAAGAATCTGCTTCATCTGGGTGAGGATCGGTACCTGACCACGCTTCTCCTCAAGCACCACTCCAAGTACAAGACCAAATTCATCTCGAGCGCCAAGGCCTGGACCATTGCTCCTGAAAGTTGGACAGTCTTCCTTTCACAACGTCGTCGGTGGATCAATTCCACTGTCCATAATCTTATTGAGCTGATTCCAATGCAACAGCTCTGTGGATTCTGTTGCTTCAGTATGAGATTCGTCGTGTTTGTTGATTTGCTCAGTACTGTGATTCAACCTGTCACTCTTGCCTACATCATCTACCTCATCTACTGGCTTGTCAACGACACATCCTCGATCCCCTACACTTCATTAATTCTACTTGCCGCCATATATGGCTTACAGGCTCTTGTCTTCATTGTTCGTCGGAAGTGGGAGATGGTTGGATGGATGATCGTGTACATCCTTGCGCTACCTGTTTTCTCCCTCGCCTTGCCACTTTACTCTTTCTGGCACATGGACGACTTTAGCTGGGGTAACACACGTATCATAACGGGAGAGAAAGGTCGCAAGGTCGTTATCTCTGATGAAGGAAAGTTCGATCCCGCCTCGATCCCGAAGAAGAAATGGGAAGAGTATCAGACAGAGTTGTGGGAGGCTCAGACTTCACGAGATGATCGTTCTGAAGTTTCTGGTTTCTCTTACGGCACCAAGTCCTACCATCCCGCTCAATCTGAGTATGGGTTCCCGGGCTCGCGGCCCATGTCACAGCTGGACCTACCTCGCTTCGGATCCCGGATGTCTTTGGCGCCATCAGAGATGATGAGCCGACACATGGACATGGAAATGGAGAATCTGTCCCACTTGCCAAGTGACGATGCCATTCTCGCTGAGATCCGCGAAATTTTGCGGACAGCCGATCTGATGTCCGTGACAAAGAAGAGCATCAAATTGGAACTGGAGAGGCGCTTCGGTGTAAATCTGGATCTCAAGCGTCCTTATATCAACTCAGGTAAGGGCTATACGTTTCCAACCCCCTTGTTGCGTGCGTTATGCTAACTTTTCCAATCTATAGCCACCGAGGCAATTCTTGCTGGTGCTCTATGATCTTCGCATCCCCTCATCCACTGAGGATGGACAGTTGACAGAGAAAACGATGGAGCACTTTCGATTCCGATATTGTATAAAGATTCTTCATTTATCTAATACGCGTTTCTTCTTTGAGCGATGTTGTGGAAGAGATCTGTCACATACCTGGGATTCATGGACCGCCAAAGCCATCTTCATGATTAGTGTGATCTTGTTCATCTGAGCCCATTTCCGATCAACCTTACTCATCTGCTACCTTTTCATGACAACAAACTGAGCTTGATCTGTCTATTTTCGGTTTGCGTTTGCCTTTTTACCTTAGATGTATACGAGCCTGGAGTTGTACAGTTATCCGTTTCGCCTCATGTCTCATCTCTCAAGCATCGGCACATTTTACTGTTGAGCGTCAGTGTTGGGTTTCATTTACATTAGGTAATAAATATTGACTTGGGATGTCTTTGTGTACACGTGGACGCTTTGAAATATACGAGTTATAAGTTTATGAAGCAGTGGACAGATAGGGGTATGATGATTGCAACGATTTATGAAAGTGACGCGAAGCTATTGTCGAAGGCAAGTTTCATAATTATGATTTTGAAAGAAATGCGCTGAGAGTTCGGGTAACGTAGGAGCTGGAAAGGGGTATTTGGCGAGTCATCAACTAGTTGCGGAAGTGGCATTTAACCCTGTACTCCCAGAAAGTCCAAAAAGTAGTTGGAATACTTGAATGGGACAAAGGCTTATGAAGACTTGGTTGGACTATCAGAGATGATATCCGCATCCACAGAGCAAGGATCCTTCTGTGCGGAGTCTTGAAAGAGATTAATAAGAAGGGGCCAGGGAAGTCTCGATCGGCTGGTCAAAGGCTTTGGGATCAGCATGTTCCATGCCCAGTATCTGCCAGGCGGCACCCATCATGCCATGGCCCAGACCCTTGGGGAAATCACCAAAGACCGAATTCCGTGGCACGTGTTTCTGAGCGCGTTCGCGAGAGATTCTCTCCTTCTTCGCAGCGGCCAGCCTATCCTGCTCCCGCTCGTGGCGGACGATGTCATCTTTCCATTCTGCCCAGCGCTCGTAGTTTTCACGCTGTTGTAGCACTTGATAGCGAAGCTTGACTTTTGATGGGCGCCAGCCGACACGGCTGCCATTGTCCTGGGACATTGTGGACTTGAGATCGCAGATGTTGGATTCTTTCGTCAGCTTGAGAAGATGAGCAAAGACGTCCCTGCTCTCGGATGCAGTCTGCTGAACCTTGTCATGCAGAGCACTGGAGGGTGGTTTGGTAAGCGGCAAGTCGAGCCATGAGTGCAGATCCGCCGCCCGTTGCACCGAGTACGGGTCGAGCATGTTCGAGCGTCGATTTTCTTCGCGAAGGAAGCGGACAGCCGCTTGTAGACTGGCGACTTCTGCGCGAAGAGCCTCGTTCTCGCGCATGGCGGCCAAGGAGAGACTGTTATCGATGACAACACCGTCCGTCGTGGTTCCGACTCCTGTTGTACCGGAGAGTCGTTTGACCCGCTCAAGCCGATTCTTGAGCTCCTCTCGCTCCGCTTCCAAGGCTTGCAGGTCCTTGCGTTGTGTCTCAATAACTCCCTCGAGGTCCGCTTCCTTCGCCTGCATCTCCTCGATCTTGCTTTCAAGGTCCTTGACCATGGATGCTTTCTTGGTGGCCTCACGCATTCTGGATTCTACCAGTTCTACTCGAAGAGCTTGCTCCTCAATTGTTTTGTCCTTGACGCCCAGGGCTGTCGACGCTTCATGTATCTCATTCTTGAGCCGACGTATTTCCTCATCCGCGTCTGGAGAGTTTGTCTTATTCGACTTGAGCTCCGCAGCTCTTGCAATCCATGGAGCAGGACGCCTCTCAAACTCTGTGGTGATGGATAGATCGGATGAGATCGCGTCCAGCTCCTCGAGTAGGCCACCCAGGGTGCGTAATCGATTATAGAGTAGGGACATGGTGTCACTGCTCTCGGATCCCGTTTCCAACGGTTGACAATAAGCTGTGGAGGTTTCTGACATCGTCTTTGATGCCTCTGCGATAGTCAGGGGTTCGGTTCGAGCCTCATCGCTAATAAGAATCGCCAGGTTCTCCCCAAGCTGACGTGCCAAAGCAGAGAGCTCCTTGGCAGCTTCTTCGGCGCTCCTGAAGGGCCCGGCAACATCTAGAGATAGTGACAATGATCGCGATCTAAGGTCTTCGAGTGCACGATAAACCTTGCCCAGGGCAACTTTCAATCCTCGAGCTTGGGACACAAACCCATCCGCTTTGGTAAAGAGCAAAGAGCACTCCTCATCGCCTTCCTCCGGAACCGTAATCTTTGACTGCAGCAATGCCTTAAACCGTGCCATGCAAGATGCAGCATGATCAATATAGGACTGCGTCAACGATGAGCGCATGCAGAGTTCATCCGCAAAAGCCTCGAGGCAAGTAGGAAGAAGGGTCTCTGCGAGATGCGAAAGCAGTGCGATGGATCGCTGTAGTTCTATAGCGCATTTTCTGAGGTTCAGCTCATTTTTCTTCAAGCATTCCATCCAGAAATTCAACGTGCGCTCCACTGGCTCCATCTCGAACAAAGCCCCTTTGATGCTCTCGAAATTCTCCGTGGAGCAGCTAGTGATATAATTGACAAACCGGTCGCTGAGAGACGAGATATACAGGAGCTTCTCAAGCACGTCGTAGGCCACGAATATGTCATCAAGAGCTGTCGCTATCGAGGCTTGGTCGGATACGTTTTCACGTATAGTGTTGCTCATCAGAGTGGCCTTGAAGCTGACCCGCTTGAAGCGCAAAAGGGCGAGAATCGAGTCTCGCTCTCCTTCAAAATAATCGGGCAAATAGAGTTTGAGAACGGATAGATGCTGTATAGCTTCCTCTGCGTTCATACGGCCTAGTTCAATATCGATTGACTTTGTCTGCGTCTTGGCCATCGACGCCTGGAGTTTCATATTCAAGTCCATCATGGCTCGCGACCGCGTCGTAAGATCGTTCGCCTCGGCTTCTGAAATCTGCTGAGATGCTCGCATATCCTCCAGATCCCCTTGTAAAGTAGAGACCAGCTCCCGAAAGCGGGTCAGAGTGTATTCTAGATCTTCAATAACTTCATCTTGCTGAGAGATCTTTCGGCATTGTTCGTTGAACAGACTTTCTCGATAATCAATCTCTTCCTGCAGTTGCTTTTCTGTTTCAATGTGGTTGTATTCAAGCTCGTCGTTGATCTCTTTCAAAGCCTCCAAGTCTTCGATAGCAGCTTTGAGCTCGTTGATCTCTTCTTGGTATCGCATGTTCTTGTCCGCGAGCTCTTCTATCATCTCTTCAGCCCCGAGTGCTGTCTCCAGCTGCTGCTTGAGATCTTCAACATTATTCTCAGATACAAGCAGCTTCTCCTTTGTTGCTTCGTACTGGGATTTGATCGCAGCATAATCCTCCAAATCCTGCTGGAGTTCCTTGATCTGATCTCGTAGCTCCGATTCCTGCTGTTGGGTCATGTCCCGGAGACGAATCAAAGCTTCGCGGAGGCGCTCATTTGTCTTTTCCATTTGGAGCCATCCATGGCTGGATTTCTCTTCAGGGCTCATGACCTGGCCCAGCTCCTCGTTCTCTTCCTTTAGGACATCCAGCTCCAGTTCAAGCTCCTCAACTCTCGCCCTTAACACGGCACACTCGTGCTTGAACGCATCGGCTGTCTCTTCGGCCATTTCACGGTCCAATGCTGCCATTTCCAAGATTGATTCATGCTCTGCTTGGAGACGCTCGACCTCCTCAAGCTTGGCCTCTGTGTCTTTCAGTTTCTTGCGCAATTCCCCAATCTCAAGCTGTTGCGGTTGATATTTTGCTTGCAGCTTCTGGATAATGGCTTCGAACTTGTCCCTCTCTGACTGTAGTTTCTCTAGGGTTTTAAGCTTTTCTCGGTCTTCCGCTCGTTTCTTCTCCATGACCCTGAGCTTTGTCTTCATCTCATCAAGCTCTCTCGCGACTGCGGTGGAACTGTTCTGTGCTTGCCGTTGCGAGGAAGACGTAAGGCTGGGGCGGCCGCTAGCCGGACGCGTCGAGCTCGGTGCCTTTTCAGATGCCTTACCGGTAGGTGCCTCGTTTCCGTCCATATCAGGCTCATTATCGCGAGGATCTATCTCAGGATCCTCCGAATAGGCACTTGTGCGGCTTTCTGTTTCCTCCGATGACTTGTTAGGGGCGGTTGGACGCAGTGCAGGCCGCTTCAATTGTCCTGAAGATGTTGTTGGTCCACTTTGAAGACTTGGCCTAGCCGCCTTGCTGGCTGGTCCTGATATAGACGATCGAGATTGGCGAGACGCGGCAGAGGGAGGCGGAGGAGGGCCCATCGACGTCTTTGGTCCGGACAAAGGGCGGGCTTTTACTGCGGACGGCCGTGAGGGGCCACTGATGGACGAGCGAGTGGAAGAGACAGGGCCGACGGGGGTCGATGGAGACTTGACCGGCGATTTTAGCGGCGACTGAACCTGCGACACGTTAGCAGTCACCAGAACATTGGCAAGCATGGACCAATCTACCCTAGACGTCCGCTGAGATGCGGTCCGCGAAGTTGGCGACGGGCTCGCAGCACTGGCGCTATGTCTTTTGGCATTGTTCGCAGGCAAAACGCTGGGTCTTTTCATGGCAATTCCACTGGTTGTAGAACCAGTCTGAGCTCGTCCTCTGTGCGCTGGAGCACTGGCGCCACCCCTGGGAGGTTGTTTCGTCTCCCGCACAGGCTGTTCAACGATAGCGGCAACAGCAGACGGTCGTATAAACATTCCAAAGCCTGGTTCACAGTCAAAATATCGTTCTCCTTGAACGGCGCCATCGTTTTTTCCTGTAGGTTCGTCCAGTTCAATACCGACCCAATCGCCGGCAGCAAAATGCGTAGTCCCGATAAACCGGACGGTGGCCTGCCGACCGTCTGTCAGAGTGACTACATGGCCAATAAATAATTCAGACATGGCACAACATTCGGAATGAGAGCTCTTGCTCAATCAATGGCCAATGGAACTCCGGTTGCAGGCCTAGACTAAGGGCCGAGGAGATGCGGTTGTTGATGTGTTTGTTGCTTCCCGAGCCTCAGGACGCGACGCCGCGTGATTGGTTGAGTCTGAGGCCTGAGGCATCAGCCCCTGACACATTTAGCCAGGCGTCTAAACTATAAAGCGCAAGTGGCCGAAGCGTCCACAGTCCAATTTCCTTAGTGCTTTCGACTACAGAGCAGTTCCTAGGTAGACTAGGTAGACTAGGTAGACTACATCGTCGCCGCGAATCATCCGTCCGCGCATTCCGGCAATCTACCCGAAAGAAGTTACTGCCCAGTCCTCTACCACAAAACTAATGTCAACAATATCGTGGTGGCAAGTTGGGAACACCTCCTGCGCCGCATCTCGGCCTGGCAGCTTTCTCCAAAGGACAGAAAGCACAATTTCTTGCAGGCCGTTCGGTTGTGGAAACAGACCATTCGCTATGAAAGTGCATCAAATGGTTTAGCGACCTTCGTCCTTGGTACACCCTGGCCCTGGCAGGCTCTGGATGACTCGTTCGAAGTCGTTCTCTCTCGAACGGTCGAACCCCTGTGGGACGCTATCAAAATGTGTCTAAGCGATGCTTAGCTGGGTCAAAGGCCATGCAGGCAATTTCGCATAATCCAGACTTAGCCTCAAAATGGTTCTTTTGGATTGGTGAAGTCGCTTTTTGGGCCTTCGCCATGATATCCACACTTTCACAAGCAGGCAAGAGTCCATTACAATAGTGGCTAGGATACCCTGTTGCTCTCACTAAACCACTAGACTAATTGCTGGTCGAGTCAATATCGCAGGGTTACATTGAGGAGACTCGCTGTATATTAAACATGTCTTCTCTCCTGGCGTCGAAGTCTTTTGGGTCCTCTTTCCTCTGTAGGAACCCCGCTCCAGGGATATTGTCCTTAATATAAGGGAGAAGCGGTTCCTGTGATTCCCACAGTTGTGTTCATTCTGACTTATCCATCTCTGTTGTATCATTTCTTTCCTGACAGGCTCGTTCCTCAAAGTCATCAGCAGAAGTGGCAAAACAGGACCGCGAAGATGCGGCAGTCTCTGTATCACGGTGCAATATGGTCTGCTTTAGTCGGTCTTGCATCAGCTGATGCTCCGTCTTCTCAGCAATGGGCTGAGAGAGCAATCTACGTTTGTCTTCCTTGAACATTATCACATGGGTCGAACGTCAAGCGTGACCGTCTCGGCTCAAAGTACTAACACTGTTATCCTTGTAGCAAGTAATGACAGACCGCTTTGCTCTCCCAAAGGGCTCATCTGACACACCTTGTGACCCCAGCAGGTACTGTGGAGGCTCGTGGTCAGGGATCATTGACAAGCTCGACTACATTCAAGACCTCGGATTCACCGCCATTCAAATCTCGCCGGTCGTGGAAAATATCCCGGACAATACCAAGTACGGCGAAGCATATCATGGATACTGGCCCAAGAATCTGTATGCTCTCAATGAACACTTTGGGACCGCAGACGATCTTCGCAAATTAGTGAGCGAGGTCCATAGACGAGACATGTACCTAATTGTTGATGTTGTGATCAATGATATGGCTCAGGCTGTCAATGGTTCCATGAAAGATGACCCGTCTCTGAAGATTGACTATTCCCAGCTTTTTCCCTTTGACGATGAGAAGTACTATCATCCTTTTTGCGCCATCACTGACTGGAATGATCCTGAAATGTACCAGAATTGCTGGTTTGCTGCGGAAACGGTTGCGCTGCCAGATCTGAAAACAGAGGATACCTCCGTCGTCGCAATGATCGGAGATTGGATCAAGCAATTTGTTGGTAACTATTCTATTGACGGACTCCGCATTGACGCTGCGTTGCACGTGAATGACAACTACGTCGCCAGCTTCTCCAAGGCGGCTGGTTTATTCACGATAGGCGAAGTCAGCAACGGAGACACAAGCCTGGTGTGCAAATATGAAAATTTGGTCTCTGGTGTCCTGAATTATCCACTCTATCAGCCCTTGATCCAAGCCTTCACAGCAGGAAATATGCTTGGACTCGCTGAAAGTATCCGAGCTGTGCAAAAGGATTGCAAGGATTTTACACTTCTGGCAACGTTCGTGGAGAATCACGATCTCCCGCGCTTTGCGTCACTGGTTAATGACACGACGGTAGGTTGGGAAGATTACACTAGTCATTTTATATTAGCTAACGGGTACAAATTAGTTGGCAAAAAACGCGATGGCTTTCAACATTCTCTCAGACGGCATCCCCCAAGGTACGTTCCTCAACAGGACAGGGGGAGTCTGCAGGCAGACACTAATAACTTCAACCAGTATACCAAGGTCAAGAGCAGCACATGCAGGGCAACTACACGCCCTTCAACCGAGGAGCCCTTTGGACAACGAACTATGATACCACGGGCCCGCTATTCAAACTCACCGCAACGCTGAACAAGCTCCGAAACCACGCCATAAGCATCGACAACCGCTATGTGACCAATCATAGCATAGAGCTCCATGTCGACAACTCCACGTACGCCACCAGGAAGGGCCCCGAGGGAGTGCAGATTGTTTCAATTTTCTCAAACCAGGGCTCGAATGGTGGCAAGTACCAGCTTGCGTTAAAGGATGCGTATGCGCCTGGGACAGAAGTCATGGAAATCCTGGGCTGCTCCAAGCTGGTTGCTAACGACGTAGGCAACCTGACAGTTGAGATGAACGCTGGTGAGCCAAGGGTCTTTTTCCCTGTCGCACAACTCAATAACTCGGGGTTGTGCGGCTTTGAGAAACAGAAGACTGTCTCGTTGAGCAACAGCAACAGCAACAATTCGGCTCAACCCTCTAATAACGACAAGGGTAAGGATAAGAAATCCTCTGCGAGTATCATTACCTTTCCATGCCCTATTATTTTGATCTCAGCGGCAGCATTGGCGGTTATGGGCTGGTTTCTCTGATTGGCTTTCAAAAGCCATCTTGGCTCATTTTGCCTTTGTATTGTCTCTACTTACCACGATTGTCTTCTTTGCCTACTTCTTTCTTTTAATTGTGCTCATGGCACCCTTTCTATTTCATTTCAAAATGTACATATGTAATTCAAAGTCATTGATGGCTACAGTTCGCTTCTTGCCAGGTACTTGCGGCCAAAGTATTGTCGATGCTGAAGTCCAGGAGGTCCAAAATAACTAAACATCCTGACTGGACTAACCGTACCCTAGGTTAGCTCTTCCGTAATTGAGCCACCCCAAGCTTCATTACCTTACTATCATCTTGCCTTAGTTAATCTTCGAGGATACCAACTTCTAGATAATATCCACCTTGTCAATTGATGTATCATCCCTTGCCGTTTTATCACCATTTTTTCCGGCTAGTGTTGCATTTTCCGATTGCGTTCTTGCTTCTTTCTTCGCCATCGCAGCAACATCATTTGCGCTGTCTCCAAAGCACTCCATCCTGGCGGTCTCTTGATGGAATACACCGTACAAGACGATGTCACAATCAGTATCCCACGGCAGGAGATGTGGTAAGCCCGTTTTGAGCTGTTCTGTCTGCGGAACTCGCAAGTGAGTCGGTCTCTCTTGTGGGTAGTCAATCAGACAAAGTCAAGACCCAAAGCATTGAGACTATTTCAGAATCCGTTGCGACAGACAATCTCCATGTAGCTCTTGCTTAAGACGTGGCAAGCCGGAAGAGTGCAGCACATACAGCTCCTCGGAGCAAGAGCGCAGAGATGCAGTCGACTATATACAATCATGCTACTCCAACCAAGATCAGTAACCGAGTTCAAGTTCATCGTTTTGAATCGCAATGGGAACGTCCAGCAATGATAATCCGCAGGAGCAGGAGAAGTGGGAGATGTCGTCTACTCCGCCAGAAGCTCCTCCTGATGACCACAAGTACCCTACGGGTTTTAGGCTCTAGCTGCTGATGACCTCCCTCTATATCGCCACGTTCTTAGTTGCCCTGGATTGTTTGAATGCTCTCAAACGTCTTCTCCGTGCAACTTGTTGACCAGGAGCCTTTCTCGCCGCTGCCATTCGGAGGTGTGGTCCTCCTGTTCGTCTCTTTCCTGCTCTATGTCCCAGGTGCCTCGTCAAAGGATGCCTCGACTTGGAAGCATAAAGTGGCGCAGCTCATTCTGGAAGGCGTCATTGCTCTCCTCCCAGGAGTCATCTGCCTGTTTTTGGCTCTAGAATGGGGTGGTTTTACATACAGTGTAAGTTCCCTCTCACAGAGGCTTTCCATGTGCTGCAATTTCACCGCGCAGAGCTGACTGTATAACAGTGGAGCAATGGGCGTATCATCGCCTTACTTACAGTCACTTCCATACTGTGGGTCGCTTTCATCTTGATTCAGATCTGGAGACCCAAGACAGCCACTGTGCCACCGCGCATTTTCATCCAGCGAAGCATCCTCGCTGGCTTCTGGGGGAGCTGCACGGTGGGTGTGCACATGACAATGTTTGGTAAGTCGTCTTAACACACCACCAAGTCCACTGTTCATGAAATATGATTTCTTGCTGATAGTAGAACGCAAGTTTACTATTTCCCCATCTGGTTCCAGTCGGTAACAAGTGACTGCGCCATCGAGAGTGGCATCCGCCTGCTGCCTCTGGTGATTGCCATGGTTGTTTCATCCATTGTCAGCGGCGTGGGAATGACTAAAGTGGGCTATTACACGCCGTTCCTGATCGCTGGCACATGCATGGTATCAGTCGGTGCGGGTCTTCTCACTATCCTCAAAGTCAACGCAACGACCGGCCAATGAATCGTCTACCAAATCGTTTACGACCTCGGCTTGGGCTGTTGCTTCCAGGCACCCAGCGTCGCTGCGCAGACGGTACTCCCCCGCAAGGAAGTGGCCATCGGCGCTCCCCTCATGCTTTTCGGTCAGACTCTCTTCGGCGCCATATTCGACTCGGTTGGCCAGAACGTTCTCGGCCAACATCCGGCTACCTCCCTTGCACGCATCTATGGCATTAGCATCAGTTCTGGGGATATTAAGAACGCTGGTATCACCGGCCATTCCAAGATCATTCCGTCTCAGTACCACGCTGCTGTTTTGAATGCTTACAATTCCTCACTGCGGCTATGCTTTTTGGTTGCCCTCGTCTTTGCTTGTCTTTGTCATTGGCAGCTTAGGCATGGAATGGAGCAATGTCAAGGAGGAGGCCAAAAAAGGAGAATCGAGGAATCCTACTAGCGAAAACGCTGCTGAAGATGGCAAGAGCTTCAATGCACCACCGAGTGATGACGAAGGAGGCAGATAACATGAGCGAATACTAGCTTGTGGACGGAGAGTAAGCAGGGAATCTGAGGGGTTTCATTCTGCACATATCCCATGCGACATGGATAAGTTTGACTATCCGTTGTAAACGAATCCCCAAGCTGGCGAGTAGTCCTCATCACTATCATACTCAGGTTTCATGACGTCCTTCCGAATTTGATCTAGATCCGAATGTTCCAGCCAGCTACTGTACCATTCCAGAAACTCAGGGATGGAATCGAATCTTGGCTTCCGCCCGTTTAGCATGGTAGGATTCTCGCCGTCCGCATGGAAAATGACCACCCGCCACGCCCAGTCCTTATGGCTTGGATCGGAGTCCTCGACGAACCGGCGACAGTACAGATAGGCGCTGTGCCATTTATCATGTCCACAGCGACAGCCAGTCCCGGTTAAGAAACCGACTCTCACTTCCAAGTCTTCGTCGACAGTCCCAGCAACGAAGCTCTCATCACAGAGGAATTCTTGCAGATAATACTTCAGGCTTTCTCGGGCCTCGAAGATATTAGGGGGCGGCAATGCAAGTACTGCCGGGTTATCCTTAAATGCATAGTCCTGGGTCTCTGATACAAAAACAGGTCCGAAAGGGGCTATGCCTGAGCGCCGGAAATCCGGATCCTGGACACCACTGGCGTACTTGATAAAGGAACCCAGCTCATGGCAGAGCGGGATTGAGAAATCCTCGTCCTCCTCATCGCGAAAGGCGGCCTCATCACACACGCTTTGGACGGTGTCCAGATACATCTGACGCCACTCCTCTGTCAACAGCCTTGGCGGCTGGATGCCATCCATGTACTCGTGGTATACCGTTTTAACGTCGGCCAATCGAGTGACGTTTCTCTCCTCGCGAGATTGACGGACAGGGCCTATTGGGGCGCAATCATTCCAAGAATCCTCGCCCTTGATTCCCAAATTAGGCCAGTAGGGGCGCATCTTTACAAGTTTTTCCTCTTCGGTGGGTAGGTTCATCGCTTCAATCTCCTCGATCCGGTCTTGGAGGAATTGCCGGTTAGAGGACTCCATTTTGATGCGGAATCGTTCCACTGCCAGGCGCATGATCTCATCTGCGTCAGCAGTGGATGGTTGTGTGGTGGTTGCCATGCTTTAGTAGTAGAGAAGCATGGATGGTTGGTAACGGAGCAGGGTAAAAGAAGAAAAAGGAGTGAATAAAATGAAATGGTGATTGTGGTGTTGTGTGAAGAGGTGCCTGGCAGCCTCTCTAGGCTGCTTTACCAACCTTTGCCAAGAGAAGAGGGTCGTAATTTCAGATATATAGTGTTATCAGACGCGATTATAAGTAGCTTTACAAGAAACGAATCACAGCAATGACGGGATGTTGCCAATATATTAGAAATTCTTTTGATCGAGCGGCAACCTCGACACAGTATATCGTGAAGCTAGTCTACCACAGCACATAGCAATTGAAGACACTGGTATGGCGTATCCACGGCTACGATTGTCCCACATGGAATTATCGGCTTGACTCGGTATATATCACTGATTCTATAATCAACTGCCGCAACAGAGCCCGCCATTGCGAGCCCAATCGCAGATGCTTCGTATATATTCATTAGTCTAACAATATACAAACTACCCCTTTCTATAAACAAATGTCTGTCCGGTCTATCATGCGACATTAGCCTTGAAGAAGTGTGGGAACAGTGTCCGCAATTCCTCGAGGCTTCGAATCATGTATTGCGAGGCCGGAATTCGAGGGATAGGGAGTGTCGGTTCGACGAGGTGGACAGTAGTCCAGCCACGTTCCGCGGCGTGTTTGCAATTCAAGTGCGAGTCATCTTCCGATTATCAGCATGATACTGAGACAAGGTCAAAGGACGAAAAGAAATAGCATACCAACAAAGTAGCACTGCTCCGTGCTCGGCGCGCCGGCTTCAATCTCCGCCTTCTCATACATGTCCTGAGACGGCTTGCAGATGAGCGGCGGCCGCGAATAGTCGCAGAATGTGATGCCCTCGAACAGATCGCCCACATTCAACAACTCGATGACACGTTTGGCATGTGTGATATAAGCGTTTGTGAGTAGCCACAGCTTCACTTTGGACTTGTCAATGTCCTCGAGTAACTTGCGCAGTTTGGGATCCGGCTTGAGGATTCTGTCTAAAGGGAGGGCATCGTCGACTTCGCGATTGAATTCAAGGGGGTCAATGGTGTGATGACGTGTGAGGCCCTGAATCGCAAGACCGTACTCCTTATAGTATTTCTGGTGGAGCATGTGAGCGTCTTCAGCGGAGAGGGAGAGGTGCTTGACGAAGAACTGGTCTGCGAGGGTGATTAAGTTAAATGGGGTTCATTGTCCGAGTGCGTTCATATAGAGGAGGTTTTGAGGCAACTAACGGATCAATTTCTGCATCTCATCGTGGATGTTGCATTCTGCGCTGGCCATGTCAGTCCTCGTCGGAGCGCTCGAGTCGTCGGGGCTCCTGACCTCGAGTATAAAGCTGCGCATGACGCCATATCAGCCTGGTATCTGAGAAAATGCAAGTGATAATACCAGCGATGCATATACATACACAATTATCTATGTCAAAGAAGAAAATTGGCCTTGTGTCAGGATCGGGCACTGCGCCAGTGGGACATTCCGCAGTGGCCATTGTTCTCCGAGGGTGAATGATCTCACAGTGAGAGATAAAATGTCTATAAGGGAAAGATGAGGGAAGTGTAAATCTAGGTTGGATTCTCTGGCATATGCGATAAGTCCGTAACATCAAAGGAGTCATAGATAAAGGGGAATGTAAGAAGAGTCAACCCCCGCGATGATTCACAACTGCGTCCTGAATCTGCGGGAATAACCGCCCGCATTATAATTCCGTACAGAGCTTAGCGTTGACCGCCCAAGGTCACAGACTCACAGCCTACCTTACTACTCCTTAGTGAGCCTAGCGTAGTTTACAGTAACTCGTGCGGACTCGAAAGCTTGCATTCTGCTATTTTTTTCATTCTCCCTTGACCACGTCAAAGGCAAAAATACACCCGGATTTCCTGCTCCCAACCTTCCATGTTTCCTGTTGATAAGAGTGATCAACTCATCACAGGTGAACTAGGGTTAAAAGGGCTTTTGGATTTACAGGTACTGCAAGTACCGATAATAATTTACTCCCATAAGCCAAACCTCCCGCCCGTGGAGCTTCAGCATTATGGCAACTCCCGGGACAGCTCAACTCCAAGCTGGAGTTATATCAGCTAGCTTATCGGAGAGTGAGCAGGTGAAGGAATATGAGAAGATTTTGAAAATTAGCGACGACATCTTTACTGGTGCTCACCCTAGGTTGAAAGTTCCCCAGCAATTTGTGCGCAAGACCGCGTCTCGAAATGCCCCTAATCCCCCTACCCCAACAAGACAAGCTCAGGTAAAGACTGCTGGCGGTCAGATTCCTTTCCAGGGTAATCCATCTCAGTCCAAGCCAGCAGTTGCAGGAGTCGCGAGTGCGCAGACCCTCAAAAACAATGCGTCATCTGGTGTGACCAGCGCGCCTCAGTCTACGCGTATTCTTCCCAAACCTACGTCGGAGATTGATCCCATCTTCTTGACCAAATCCGATGATCTAGTTAGAGCGGAATTGCAGTTGCAACGACAGAGAGTGGAAAGGGCGCTACGAGAGCAGCTGGAACAAAAGAAGCAAGAGTCCCGGCAGCGAGCCGCCATGCAGGACGCGAAGCCAGACTTTGATGTCTCGGAAGTTTTGAACAAGGCGTTTGAGCTGGTTCCACCTTCACCATCAATCGATGTTCCTGGGCCCAATGGCATGGAAGCCCCCAGTGACTCGTATGATGAATCCTTCGACTCCAGTAGAGCCCCTGACTCTCCGGTTCAGCAGAAGCCGTCTTCGGCGCCTCTTTCTAATTCAGAGGAAGTTGCTACTGAAGCTCCAGTAGAGAATTACTCAGATGAGTTGCAACGGCTTGAAGCCCTCAACAGACCTGCGTCGGATCAGGAAATGCAAGATACTTACCCCGTTGCAGACCGTCAAAGGCAGTCCCAGCAGGCTCAGGTAGATTCCACGAACAACAGCTTGCAGGCCATTCAACAGCAGGCAGATGCTTTCGAGGAGCCCGAGTATTCACCTCCAGCTCCAGATATACCGCCTATGGAAAGCGCAGACCTTCAACAACCGATCGAGCAGAGACAACCGCATACGGACAAGCGCAGTGGACAAGACCAGGAACCTCCTCGTCCCCATCAAAACCGTCGCAAAACAGTATCACCTGGGGATAACGTGAGGGTTGTGCGCAATCATATCACTTCTCCTGCGGCACCGCAGCCGTCAAGGGTTTCTCCTCTGGCCATAGCTAAGGTTCCCACTGTCCATCACCCCAAAGTCCCACCAGTAGACTACAGCTCTAACCGGATGCAGCATGCGAGACAGAATCTTCGGGCTGCCAGTCCTGAAATACCGCCCCAGCAGTTGATGCCGAGGAAACGTAGGAGACTACAAGAAGACAGAAGCCGACCTGGCCCAGTCTCTTACAGATCGCAAGCAGGCGGCAGTACCGAGGCATATATCAAGGAAGAGCCTGTGTCGCCGCCACCTTTTGCTGACACGCCACCTACAATCCAGCCTCAAGAAAGGCCAATCTATATTGACATTGCCTCGCCTCGTCCTCCCTATACGCCAGTGTACGAGAGAATCGAGCCGGCGCGGGAGCCTGCATATGAGCTCGACCCTTATCATGAAGCGCACGTTGAAGCCGCATACCCAAGGACGGTTTCGAGGCTTAGCGCTCGGCGCCCTGTACGCGATGACCAAGATCTACGGAGGGTCGCAAGCCTACACCAGGCTCGGCAACCTGAGTATGCTCGGGAGTACATTGAGCGGCCCAGCTCTCGCTCGCTGCGCGCTGCATCCTACGCTATAGTGGAGCGGCCTCCGCAAGAAAGAGTCAGGTACTATGACGAACCGCCCCAAACTTACGCCAGACACTACGCCCCGGCGCTTGCGTCGCCGACATCCCCGCGATACCAAGAGGCCTGGATCGAAGGAAGTGCGGCGGCGCCTCCACGGCGGATCTTGATAGATGAGCATGGGAATCACTATCGTGAGAGGACGCCACCCCCCCGAATGCAGGCAATGCCTCCACCCCCAGGTCGAATCCCGCGAGGCGAGGTCTACGATGACGGCACAACGCCGATACGTCCTGGTGGTAGCGTTCGAGCAGTCTCCGTCGTTGAAGATCCATATGGTGGCCGGAGATACGTGCAGGAAATGCCACCTCCGCCAGCAGCTTATCGACGGGTGACGGAATACCCTCGGCCCGCTCCGAGCGAACGGCGCAGTTACGTCACGCCACTGGTCGATGACAGAGAATCGTATCCACGCAGCAGTAGCGTTCAAGTTGCCGGGTATCCTGCGACTCGGGCGACCTACGTTGAAGAGGCGGATATCCCACGTGAGAGGATCATCAGGATGCCAAGTGTGCGTCCCCCTGCTGCTCGATATGAGGAGCCTCGGGAGATGATCCCGCGGATGGGAAGCGTCCGCCCTGCCGAACGAGATGTAAGTGTTTATGTAGACGATGACGCTCGACGGCCAAGAGAATATATCGAGCGACCTGTTTATGTTGCACCACGCCCTCTGGCGAGAGAAGAAAGATACTATGAAGGGGAGCCCGAGCGGGTGGTGCTCGATGGGAGAGAGACAGTTCATCGGGTTTCCCAGCGTTATTGAGTTTCAGCAGAAGCCGAATCATACCGGGTCGATTCATTTGCATGTATGGAGTATCATCACAAGTTATTTAACGCTCTAATGTACACCGAAAGGGTATTTTTTGAAGATCATTCCCCACTAAACCATCTCTTGCATCAGAAATACCACCACAGTAATAGAAGGAATGACATGGTATGTTTTTCCAAAACACCGAGGCTCATCATATGCAAGGGTATTGGAGTAGTGGTTAGAATTCTGCATTTAATGGGAATGGGTCCCAAAGCTAGTATAGTTCCGGCCACATATCTGTGCATGATTCAAGCACCACAGCATACATCTATGCTGTCTGTTGAATTGTGTTGCACATTTTGACGATGCGCAGGATGCAGCTCCTCTGGAGGACTATAAAAGTCTAGAAGCGGTCTCTGGATCGGTGAG